GCTTCTGCGCCACTCCTGTGGCCCGCACCCATCACAAGAGTCCGGGCCACCCACCACCCGCCACAGGCCTTACGCCACCAGGAGTCCTCCAGTCAGGCCCTCAGTAGCTCCCCGATACGTGGGGGCACAGCAGTGGGGGTCCCTGCCTCTCAGGGCCTCAGTTTCCCTGAAGGCAGCCTGGGCAAGCAGCCTCGCCTAGGGCGGCCGGGGGCAGGGGACCCGCCCAGCACGCAGGCTGGCACTGGGCAGCAGCAGCGCCAGGAGCCCAGGCCGGGCTGGGCCAGCGGATGGGTGGGGAAAGCGGTACTCGTGGGGCACCCAGTGCGTGCAGAGGCAGAAAGGTCACGGGCGCAGCGGCTCCCCTCCGCCATCTCCCCTCCTGCCCTGGGGACAGGCTCTGCGGGGTGGGCTCGGCCCTCCACCCCGCTGCTGTCGCGTGTCAGGTAGTACCTCTCAGCCCCCAAACCCCTGGCCTGACCTCGGGACCCACCCTCTGGCCCCAGCCCACGTCTGCTGGCCCCACTGGTCCTGACACACACAGGCCTGGGCTTCCTCCTCCCCCAGGCAGGAGAGGCTCTGTCACCTGTGGCCACAGCCTCTGTATCCATCAAACCATCAGGGGTCACCTCTGTGACCGTAGAGCAGCCGACACCTGCCTCACCTTCACAGACGTCCCTACACAGGCTCTCAGGCCCAGGGAGCCTTGAGCAGGCCTGGTGGAACCTCGGAGCAGCGGCAGTTCCGAGGAAGGCCTGGACTGCAGCGGGCGGTCCTCTGTTCTCCAGGCTGTGGTTTGTGGGTGGACCCTGCACGAACAACCCTGTGGAACCCTATGGAGTCTGTGGAACCAATAAAATGCGAGTCAGAACTTGCAAGTGGGACTCCATGTGTGACGTTGGCAGGCGCCAAGGACAGAGCACAGAGCGGGTCCACTGCCTGCCCGCCCGCTCACCACCTGACTGCACCACTTCCCTCTGCCCCCAAGCCCTCCCCAGCCATCTCCCGCAGTGGCTCCCCACTCGGCCCCCTGAACACCCAGCCCCGAGAGCCCCCAGCCTTCCGATCAGGTAGCAGCGCCCCCACTGCTCCACCGTCCCGCACAAAACAGCTCAGTGAGCGGTTATCAGGTGGTCTGGTGGGTGGACGGATGGACTGAAGGATGGATGGAAAATGGGAGAGTGAATGGGAGGGGTGCCAAAGACTGGCACAGCACCCCCAGCTGGCAAGTGAGGGACAGGGACCATAGTGACACGTGAGTGGCTGTCACCAGGGTGAGATGTGGGGGCCCAAACGCTGCAGAGGTGCTTGCCCTCCACCTCCGAGTGCGGGGCTACTGCCTGAGACTCCCGTTCAAGTGGGGCAGGGTGAGCATAAGGAGATGAGCCCCACAGGGCCGATTAGGGCTCAGGCCAAGGCCATGGACACAGACTGTCCCCATACACACCCCACTGCTCCACGGTGTCAGCCAACACCGAGCGGGACTGCCCCCTGGGTTCCTGGGCCTCAACAGCGGGCCCTCAAGCCCTAGGCAGGTCACCAGCGCCTACCAACTCCCTGAGTGACCAAGCCCAGAGCCCCCACCCAACGGCCTCTGCTCGCCACCAGAGGAAAGGCCGGCTTCATCTCCTCCAGCTCCACTTCCCAAAACTTCCTGCCTCTGCTCTTCCCTGCAGCTCCAGGACATCCTTTGTCCAACTCTGGGTTCCCAGGGCCCAGCAGCAGGTATGCAGGCCGGACACCAGGGCCAAGGGACACAGGAACAGGCCTCTGAGGGCTCGGGGCCACATGCCTGGCCCTGCTGGACTGTCTGGACAGCCTGCTCACAGGCCCAGTGGGTTCCCCTCTGCCTCACAGAAGCTGCCAAGCAGAGAACCTCTGTGGGGGTGGGGTGGGGCCCAGCCAGACCCTCCACCAGACCCACCCGAAACACTGCAGCCTGGCCCGCCGGTCCACACCTCAACTTGGCTGCGGCTCCCACCCAACACCTCACCCTGTGCCTATCAGGCCAGGGTCCAGTCACACCCACCTCTAGTTTCTGTACCTCGAGCACCTTCCCATCCCTCCATGTCACAAATTTCTAGCCATTCTTCAAAACCCTTTCCAGCCTCTGCCTCTGGACTAGTGCTGGAAACACACCCCCACCAAGGGCCTGGCTCCCTGCCCCTCTCTCAGGGGACCCCGAGGGCACAGTCTGTTTCTGACTCCCCTGGGTGCAGCTGGATTAGATAATGGGGTGACAAGGAGGCCAAAAGCTGAGTATCAGGGGGAAATTCCTTCTGGCCTGGGCCCCCTCCCTCTGCCACCTCCCCACCGGAAACACAAAGGGAGCGATGCAGGGACCAGGGCCCCTTCTCCCAAAACTGCCTCCTCACTCCAGACTACCCAGCACAGTAAACACAGAATATTCGTTTAATACAAAACAATTTAATTGAAATACCTGTATAAAAAAATACGATTTTTCAGATATCTCACTTCTGAACTGGAAGAACCCCTATTCTCAGTGCCCTCACACACTGGGACCACAAAAACACCTCTGCTGAAATAAATTAAAGGCTTGAGACTCTGTCCCCCATCCCCCAGCCTCCAGAGCCAACAAGCAGACTGTACAAGTCAATAACTTAAGCCCGCCCCCAGGCGCAGGGCCGCAGGCGGTGGGGCCGCCGCTCCTCTCAAACTAGCTGCTGTGCGTGTCCGTCTTCCGACAGACACGCAAGGTTTGGAGACCTGGGTCCACACGCCAGCCGCCCCCTCTCTGGGCACAGGGGCTTGGAGGAGGCGGGGCAGCTGGGAGGGAGGAACCTCGGCAAATAAGTTAAACAATAAATAGCCCTCCGTGGGGTCACACCATAAATAAGACGTTCGTAGGCGCACGCACGTCGGGCAGGCAGGCAGCAGAGGCCTGAACGTTGCATTGCTTGTGCACAAACGTGCCCAGAACACCAAAACAAGGGTGGGAGGAGCACGAGGGACCCTGTGCCCCTGCCCGGGTGAGATGAGGCCACGGGCCGCGGGAGTGCCCCTGATCCCACATGTCAGATGCGGGGCCGTTGTCAGTGTCAGCACCGCCCCCAGAGCAGCACAGGACAGGGACAGCCTCAGCTCAAGCGCCTGCCCTGGGCCGGCGAGACCTGGCTTGAACTGGAGTGTCTTTGGACAGAGCTTGAGAAAACCAAGTCCCGTGAGAGCAGCGCTCAAAAAGGCACTCAAAGCAAAGGAAACAGGCCCGTGCCAAAGGCAAAGGTCACCAGGGGTCAGAGATCACTGCTTTCTCCAGGAGCAGACTACCTAGGCAGGCTGGCTGCTGCAGGGCCCGGCTCGGGCTGGCGGTCCCTCTTGTAGTTCCCACAAGCCAAGTGCAGGCCCGGCCTCACAAGCTCTCACTGCTGGAGGTGGTGCTGGCCCCATCATCTGCGTCTAGGGTGCAGAGCCGAAGGTCACAGCTCTCAGAGGGGCCCTCCTCCGCCCCCAGCATCCAGGGGTGGGCAGAGATTTGGTCCAGCGAGGGCCGCTCGGAGGGCCGCAGGGACAGACACCACTGGATGAGCTGCTGGCACTCTGTAGGGAAGGAGACAGGGTCAGGGCAAGGCCGCCTCCCCTGCCCCGTGCCGGCAGACCCAGACCCCCACACACCTGGGGAGATCCTCCTGCGGAAGAATAGGCGGCCCCGAAGGATCTCCTCGTCCTGCTCGAAGGGAACGTCCCCGCACACCATGTCGTAGAGCAGCACGCCCAAAGACCACACGGTGGCCGCGCGCCCGTGGTAACGGTGGTGGCGGATCCACTCCGGGGGGGCTGTATACTCGGGTGCCTGAGGGAAAGGCGGGGGTTAGCACGCCCACCCCCGGGGCAGCGCCCCACGAGGCCAGCACGACCACACAGAAACACCCAGACCCTGCGCTCCCCGCAGATCACCTCCCAGGTTGAGCCCTGAGCCAAAGGCGGCGGCTGCCTTGAAAACCGGCTGGTCCTCCCACTGGAAAAACCCCGGCGGGCGTGGCCTCCCCCGGCGCCGGCAGCCCGCCCCCCCCAGCTGGCCCGGCGCTAGAGGCGGGTCACATGAGCGCGGGCTCGGGTTTCACAACAAACAGATGTGAGGTGAGGATACAGAAAGGGGGAGGGGCGGGGAGCCCCGGCTTCCCCGGCTCCGCAATGCGGGGATTTCTGCGCGGCGCCCCCGCGCTCCACACGCGCACTGGAGTAGCCCGCAGCAGCGCCAAAGCCCCGGCACAGCCGAGGAGAGTCTGGAGCCCGCGCCCCCAGCCACCACGGACCCAACGGCCAGAGGTCCCGCTTCGGCTACGCAAGCGAGCGAGCCGGCGCGGCGCGCGGCCCCGACAGTCGCCTGCCTCTCGGCCCTCCCGCGCAGAGAGCGCTCACCGTCGAAGTCGGTGTAGACCGTGTCGCGGAGCAGCGCGCCCGAGCCGAAGTCGATGAGCTTGAGCTCGCCCGAGCGCAGGTCCACTAGCAGGTTCTCGTCCTTGATGTCGCGATGCACGACCCCGCAGCTGTGGCAGTGGCGCACGGCGGCCAGCACCTGCGCGAAGAAGCGGCGCGCCAGGGCCTCGTCGAGCGCGCCGCGTTCCGTGATGAAGTCGAAGAGGTCCTGCGCTGGTTCGGGCCGCT